GGAATTTTTTACAAGTTTTTTCCAAAACAAGAAAAAATAATTCTTTCTTAACATTGTCTACACTTTGATATCCGCAAATTCCGATAAATCTGCCTTTAAAACCTGATTTCTCCACGATCAACAATTAATAATAATAGAAAATTTATACACGTACACATGTGTGTGTGTGTATGTTGTGCATGAGCGCCCATACTAATAATAATGCAAAAAATTATTTCTCTGCTTAACTTGTTCCCGAAGTCACACCGTTTGAGACGCAAAAAGTCAAACCAAGACGATATTACAAATGCTAAAAGCAGCAGCACAACAAACAGAGACAACCAAACGGCGTAGAAGACATACATACATACTTAAATATTAGAGACTCTCTTCTGGAAAGCAAAGAGGAAACTTAAGAGCGCCATAGTTTAAGAGCAGTCGCGCAAAGAGTGGCCTGATGAACAGAATCTATAATGTCAATTTAATTAATAATATATTCAGTAATCATTTAAGTATATTTATGTGTGAGCATTATAAGATGTGTGTGTGTGTAGGATTGTATTTTTGCTCAYTTAAGTGGTTATATGAGAATAATGCTGTGCAAGTGTACTTATAGTGCATTAAATGAGTGGTATTTGGAGTGGACCGGAAAGTGACTATTCGGGTCAATTACCTAGTAAATTAGTAAAAACAGCAAACATTTTTAAATGTTGAAAAAAATATTTTTATAAATTTCGAAAAATATTAAATTTTGAAAAAAAACTTTAAAAAAATATTTTCATTTTTTACATATCTCTATATATTATAAATTTTTATAAATTTCGAAAAATATTAAACTCTGAAAAAAAAATTTAGAAAAAGTTTTAAATTTTTTATATACTTCTATAACCAGCCTTCACTTTTAAAATTTTAAAATTTTGATGAAAAATGAGTATTTAAAAAATTGTATACATATTTGTAGGCTTCTAAAATATAGCTCAATCAGCTCAATCAGTATGTTTTTAAAAGCGTTTTCTTTTTTCAAAACTCAATTTTCAAATTTGCTTTAGTAATTACTCGGCGACGAATAACTCGATTGCTCTCAAATTTATTCTGCAAAAACATAATATAATTCAGAATCTAGTTTCATTTATTAAAACTTATTAAAAGTCAAATTTTGGCAGGCCACAAATTGCCAAAATTTTTGATATTTTTTTCAAACGAGGGTCATTATATAGACAATATCTTCCAGTCCAGAAAGCCGCAGGAAAGCTTTATTTTTGTTTGTTTTTAATATTTTTCTTAAGAGGCTTCATGGGTTTCGATTAAAAACAACCCTTCTTCAACATTTTTTTCTCATATAAAAATAAAATATTTTTTTTAGAATTTTTTATTGTAACAAACATACAATAGTGTATTCTGAAAATTTTGAAAAAAAAAATACTTTAAGCTCCGCCATTGCGACGCCATTTCCGGGGGTCATCTAAATTGAAAAAAAAATGCTTTAGTTAAAACCTTACCTTAACGAAAGAAAAAAAAACGGAAAATTTGACATTCTTACAAAAAAATGTATATTTCAGTGAAAATTTCGCGACCTTTTTATTCGAATAGTTGAAATCGAAATCAAATTTTTGTAACCTCTTAACTCATATAACCCCTTAAGATAATTATAAATATTAATCGGAAATAGGAAAGTCCTCTACCTAATAACTTTGTCAGATAGAAAAGTTGAATTCTCTTCTTCAACTGATTGACACCATACCTTGTTTCAAAGAGTTTGTGGATCAGTAAATTTTCTACAAATCTGTGAGTTTTGCAATATAAAATATTTTTCATTAAGTCATAAAATTCATAGGAAAAAAATATTGCCATGGAATAATCAAATTTAACCATATATATATTTTAATTGGTTAGGTTTACAAAAAATGGTAAGAGACGATTTTGTAGAGCACTAAATTTCCTTTCAAACCTTTTAATTGAGATATTTTTAGTGGCATAGAGTCTTTGAGTAAGGCACTACAAAAGTAGGACAACAAATGATGCCATATTTTTCCCCGCTCCTTTGACATTTCTCTTCAGTAAAATTTGCCATTTCATCATGGAAAGATATATGGTTCAAGAACGTGTCGAAATTATTAAAATTTATTTCCGAAATTCAGAGTTAATGGCCTCAACTTTTAGCTGAAAGCGAGGCGAGATATATAAAATAGAAAACTCAAAGGCAAGGAAACTTTCCGTTGCAATTAGGAGCTGGGAGAGATTTCCTAAGAGATGCTTAAAAATCAAAGCAAAAATATATCTTAGCTTTTTTAACTCAACTTAATAAACATGCTTTTAAAATTTTACAACTGATACATAAGTTTTTTTTTATTAAAACAAAAATCGCCTGCTTTTTAGGCGGCCATACTACTTGGATGTACCACTTAATGTTTCGAATTCTCAATAAGATTGTAGCTTAAATAATTTGAATAATTTTTGAACTATTTTTATCTTCTTAATTTTATATATATTCAGATGCCAATCATACATGTAGACCAGTCATAGCCTTAAACTAACCAGAAATCCACCAGCCAAGTGACAGCAGAAATCATTGCTAGGCCTGGTATATTTGTATGCATATTCGAATAAAAATGTAGCTGTGTAGGTGTATGCGTGTATGTAATGCTATGCATTTGTTAGTTGACTATTTAAAAAACACTTCGCATCTATCCGTACATACTGAGGGACATACCTAAGTGTGTATGAATACTTGAACAACAAGAAATGCTGAAATGACAAAGTCGCACTCACACACACGCACGCACACACTTGTCGTAATCTCTCAACAGTCAACGTTGGCATTGGATAACAAAGCAACGCTTCAAGAGTGTGTGCCGCGCAGAGCCGACTTAGGCACTAGAATACAGATGCTTGCTAGTGACGGCAATAATTGCATGATTTTCATCGGAAAATTAATCGTATATCGATAACATGCTTTTATAAAAATTAAGGCAAAGCGGGAGGCGTTCATTAGAACTTGTGTAGACTACGTTCAATAGAACTTGTGTAGATACCAAGATTTAGGGAGATCTTAATTACTTAGACGGTTTTCATTTTTTTTTTTTTATTATTTTCTTGCTAAAAATTATTTGAAAAAATATCTATTGAATATTATTTTCTTATAAGTAAAATTTTTATATTTTTTTATATAACTAAATTATCGATTATTTTATTTTTATTTTTTATAATTTTTTGAAAGTTGATTATCGATTAAAAGTCGTAAAGTACAACCTTGATAATATCAGCACCAACAACAAGATTTCACCAAACTTAGGAAGTAAGCAATAATTTTTACTTGAACACTTTTGCATAGTAATTTTTTGTTCGAAAAATCTTCTGTAAGCAAAAATCAAAATTACATGAAAATTGTAAGTATTTAGCAATTGTCTTCTATAAGAAAATTTTGCAGGAAATTGAGAGTCGTTCGTCAGAGAATTTATTTTCTCAAGAAACATACGACTAATATTTATAATTTTTTTTAACAAATATACTAAAAATGTTTGATTTTATACATATGTACTTATATATGACCTTCCAGTAAATGAAATTTGTACTGCTATCGATCATCCATAATCCCTCACATTTTCAGGGCTTTCAGCTCAAGTTTTCATTTCATCGAACTCTTACAACAAGCTCAAACAGAATTATATGTATTAGAATTTTACAAATTCCTTTCAATTTCTGATACTATCAACCAATCATTCTTAAAACAATCAAATACTCAACCTTCAATTTTTTTCATTTACATTTTCTTACACTCACTTATTGACATTATTTGCATAATATATAAATTTATATAATATGTAAATACAACTTTTTAAGGCTCTTTACTCAACTCCTTCCAGTTATTTTTGTTTTTAAACATATTTTCGTACAATCGATAATATTTATGTATCGATATCACATCAAAAATTATCGTTATCGTTTTACAGTGCTCCCACCAATAAGCTTCATTGACATTCATCTTAAATTAACCATTTTCTCAACAAAGATGTGTGTGCTCGATATAAGAGACACTTTGGTAAATGATCAACAGAGCATAACGGAATGCGACAATAGATAAAATTACACTAAGATTTCGTATACACAGAAATTTTTTTTATTTATTTTATTATGTTTGTAAAAACTGCTGGTAGCACATACTTACTTTAATGATACCTAAGAAGAATTGAATATTTGCCAGTAAGAGTTCAAAAGGTCCGATGTCGTTTACTTTGGTGGGCATGGTAATATTATATAAAAATTCGAGGAGTATAATATTGCTCTTCAAGATACTGATTCGGTAACTGTTTTAAACCATCTACCGATTTTTCCTTAATGTGTTTAGGCAAAGGTGATATTTTGTTAAGAAAAATAGTCTCAAAATTTTTATTATTTTTTTCGGAAGGGCCCCAAAATTTTCAAACAGCTGAATTCATCAGGCTCCAAAAGACGATACTCTGTTAAGTAAAGTAGTCTCAAAACATTCCTTAACTTTTCAAAAGGATCTTAAAATTTTTAAAAAGCTGATTTTATCAGACAATACTAAGGCTTTAAAACCTATTAGGAAGAGAAAGGGAAGCTCGTTTGTTCCTGAAGAACGTTGTTCCGTTGAAGAACTTGTGCTCAGAAATTTAGCCCAAACATAAATAATAGTGTAGGTTTTCCGATTATGCAGTAGTATATAAAAGTTAAGTACCCATACAAAATTATTGTGAAAAATGCTAAATTTTCAGTTCGGAAACTTTCCTCCTCTTATTTAGTGTAAAGTGAGTTATTATGACGTCAGCTTAGCGTTTGTCATAAGCTAAATAACTCTTTGAAATTAAGCATCCCATTTTCAAAGACCCTTCAACCTCCTGTCTACCCTTACTTTAAGCCTCCTGCACCACTTTAATGATTCTTTAATAACTTTAATACTAAAAACAATTGTTTTACCCGGAAAACTTAACTATTCTTTCTTTATTTGCTTTGTCATCTTTTTACAGTGTACTCTAAACTCTAGCACGTCACTAGCAACGGCACATCAGTTTGCACTCAGCGTCGCATAGCTCGGTCAAGTGGTTTTCCGAACCCATTTAATTTGTTATCCTTTGTTCCACAGCAACGAGATTACACAAATTCAAGTGAAATTGATATGAGAAACACACAAACAAAAAGTGACGACAAAAACATAGTGAACCGAGAAATATGAGCGTGCCACAAACATTTATTTAAAGTCAACTTCCAACTTACCTGTGCGACGAGTTTGGCAGTTTTTGTATCCTTTTCTCTTCACTACTGACGCTTCAAAGCAGTCTGTAAATAAATATGAAAACAAGAAAAAAAACACACCATCCAACTACACTCCACACTTTCGTGCTCTTGACAAAAACCAAACAAATAAAACAAAGAAAGCAAGACTCTCTTACGCGTCGAAAGAGCGACTTGTTTAGCGTAGTTAACAGTTTGTTTGTACACATGCTTGAACAGTTTATCTCTGATCCTTAAAGCGAATAGTACAACGTGTGTGGAAACGCGTTAAGTAACGTAACGTCGTCAATAATTTCATGATCGTTGCTTTGGAATTCGCAAAGTCTTCTTTCTTATCATGTGCAACATGTATAAACGGCTAGCGACGCCAGTGCCAGCTGCCACACCATTTCTCATTATCGTTTTGCTGGCGTTCAGCTGTCAGCTGCTCACCACTGCTAATGACGTTACGCGCGACGGCTGCAATGAGTTCGTTTGCGGTTCCATCGTCTCCAAGTGCCTCTTAACGCAGAGCTGTCAGTGTAAATTAAGCAACGCAACTTGTCTGCAAGAATGTCTCAACTGTTTGGGCGATTTGTATACGGAATGCTGCAGCTGCTTGGATATGTGTCCGAAGATTACGGATGCACTTGACGCCGCCGCGCCACGTTCACAATATGGTGAATTCGAAGGCTTACCCGAACTATTCGAAACGCTGACCGAGGATGATGACAACTGGACAGTGATGCGTTTCGCCATGCGCTCCAGTTCGCGGCGTCATTATGGCGCCGGATTCGGTGTTAGTCTAGTGGGTGCCGGGAACGATGGTGATGCTATTGACCGCCAAGCCTCACTACAGAAGCTACAATCGACAGCGACATCGGCGGTGGCGGGGGCGGGCGCGGCGGCGCAACTCAATTGCACGGTGATCTATTTGAACGAGTGCAAAACGTTTCACAAATGTGCGCAAGATTGCGAGAATATGGGCGCGAATAGTTATCGCTGGTTCCATGATGGCTGCTGTGAGTGTGTGGGCGCCAACTGCCTCAGTTATGGCATCAACGAGAGTCGTTGCTCGGCGTGTCCAGAAGATGAGGAGAATGCCGCGGCTGCTGAGGATTACGACGACGAATCGACGTGGACCTATGGCGAGGAGGAGAATAATTATAATTAATTTCTTTTATTGCGCGTCGCGTATATGATGACGAGGAAGTGCCGGAAGAGCAAGAAAGAAGTTGACATGTAAAGAAAAGTGTTTTTATTACACCATTTTTATACGATTTAGTGCACTCAGTCAGCCTGCCGCCAGTGATAAGCTATAGTTAGCTACATGTATCTATATATATATGTATATTTGTCTTTGTGTATATTAACGCAGCGTTTCGTTTGTGGTGTTGGCAAGTCAAGTGTTGTGGGGCTAATTGTATGCCGAAGTAAAGTTGTCTTACTTCATTTAGTCTTTAGTGTTTTTAATATTAAATAAATTATGAAAATGTTTACGCGCATGTAAATGTCTGTGTATTAGTGTCATTGTTATTTTTCGCAAAAAGTTTTGTACCCAAAAAAATAAAATTAGTTTTAAAATAATAAATGAGAATTAATTACAAAAAATTACACTTCTGTGCAAAATTTATATGCCTAACTTAAAAAATACCGACATTATAACCATTTCGAAAAA